ATCGAAATTTGACTGTGGTGGCTGCTATTTCAAAAGTAATAACCTTTGACTCTTTATGTTTACCTGTCATATCGTATAAATCTCGCCAGGGAAAAAGTTCGAATCGAACGAACATCTTCAATAGAAAAATCAAGTATAATGCAATCTGCCCATAAATTGGCTCGTCGCGCCCAATGAGAGTGTGAAATTTCAATTTGATGTCACTTGCGCAATACCTGTCCAAATGTTATGAAACCACTTGCATTCGATAGAACAGAATGTCAGCTTTAAAGTGACATAAGATGGACCAAAATTGGATCGAATTTGCAAAACTTGTGCCGTTTTTTCATGCTAACTTCGACCCCGAGGGTGCCCATAAATTGGCTCGTTACGTTAGTCAGCGCGCCGGCGACCATGTCGGCGGTTGGGATAAATTGGAGTATCAGAGCGTCGTCGCGGACAAGCTCACGAAGGTAATGGTGCCGGACGTCGATGTGCTTCGTTCTCTCATTGATGGTTGTAGACTTGGACGTGGCGATGGCCGACATGTCGTCGCAAAACAAGGTGACGTGCTCTTGCGGTACGCCAAGGTCCGTCATCAACCCGCGGAGCCACGTACTATAGATTCGCGGGTGGCTTCAGCGGCGGCGATATATTCGGCCTTATAGCTCGATAGCGCGGTGATGCGCTATCTGATGCTCTTCCTCATGAGCATGCCGCCGAGGAAAACCCAGCAGAATCCAGTGGTGGATCGTCGGCCCGGTCGAGTCGCCCAGCTTGCGTCACAAAAGCCTGTAAGTGTTGGATCCCGAGTGCCGAATATGATCCCATGGTGTTTTGTGCCAGCTAGGTATCGGAGCGCACTTTTGGCGCCAATCAAGTGTGGTGAACGAGGAGCATGCAGGTGGCTGGATAGGCGTTGCACGGTGTCGGCGATGTCGGGTCTCGTGCAGACCATGAGGTAAACCAGTGATCATATCATTGCGCGATACTCCCCTTGATCGGTAAATGGTTGGCTTTCGTCATGCCATAGGTCTTCTTGGTCGGCGACTTCGGGCGTGGCGACAGGGTGGCATGTGGTCATTCTAAAAAGTTCCAGTACCTTTTCAGTGTACACCTCTTGCGTCATGGTCAGTGTGCTTCGACCGAGGCTGCAGGTCACATGGACTCTGAGTATGTAGTGCAGCGGTCCTTGGCGTTTCAGGTCACCTTCGTTAACAATTCGTGCATGATCTTATCCATCTGGGTTTGTGTTGGCGCGGCTACGATAAAGTCGTCGACGTACGTGCCCATGATGTCCATGTTGTCGCCTTCGAAGCGGGTGAAGACGCATGGGTCATGTGGGCTCTGTTTTCAACCCAGCTCCGCTATCTTGGCCTTGCAGTGGACTTACCAATCGTGTCCGCATTGGTTGAGGCCGTACAGGGCTTGGCCCAGGGCTGTTTGACCAGGTGATGCTTCATGCCTTTCTGGTTCCTCTGCCCAAATGGGCCGTTCTAATCTTGCTTGGATGTATGCGTTGATAGCGTATGCCTGTTCGATGATCATGGTGCGGGCGGTGGCGACGGCGTAGATCGCGCGGACCGACTTCATTTTGATGACGTTGGAGGATGACTCGTCGTAGTCAATGCCGGTTTTCTGTGTGAATCCTTTGAGGACCCAACGTGCCTTCCAACGAACGACGTTTCCTTCGGCGTCTGTATTGCGATCGTATGTCCAGCGGCCGCCATGATCTTTCGATCGGGCACTTCTCCAGCACTTTAGTTTGGTCAACTGTGCCACTTCGGCCTCCTCGGCCTCCTTCCACTGGCGCCATGCTGGCGACGCCATTGCCTCCTTGTGGCTGTTTGGGATGGGGTGGAGTTGGATGGGGACGGCGGCGCAGGCAAAGTCCTTTCCGTTGACGCGGTACGTTGCTTGTTCCTCGCAGATCTCCTCTTACTGGTAGCCTTCTGGTGGAGTGTCCAAGTACTGCGAGTTGGCGAAATTTGCGTACATTGGGTTTGGTTTTGGGAGGCGGCTGTTGCGTCGGGGTGTTGGCTCGGTTGGTAGTGGTGCGGCGACTGGTATGTTGTGTGGCCCGGGGTAGATTTCACGTATCTGGTTCATGATTTTGTCTTGGCTGTTTGTGATCTTGTTGAAGTGGGATTTAAATGTTTGCTGGAATTGATCGGAGATGTCTTCGTAGGAGCGGTTGGTCTCGGGTGTTTTGTACAAGAAGGGGTAGTCGCGTTCGGGGTTCAGTGTGGTGCCGTAGTTACGGTTTGGATCGGGCATGCTCGTGGAGTGCGATAGTCGAGCGGTTGCTGGCGTGACCGTGGTGCTTGGCGGGGGTGGTATGGAGATGTTGACTGCATGGTCGACAGTGCGTCTGACGGTTTGGATAACCGTTTTGAGGATGGACTGCGATGTGGGGATCAGTTGGGTATGTTGCTGTCGTCGTCCGAGTTATTATCTTCTAAATGTTCTGGTAGGGCTGGCGACCCGAAGAACTCGTTCTCAAGGAACTTGACGTGGACTCCATGCGTGGTGCGCTGGTTTTCGACGTCGAACAGCTTGTAAGCCTTCATGTTGCCCGTGTATCCCAACATGATGCATGCATGGGGTTGCTTTGGGGGTTGGCTTGTTACGTCGTTCGTGAGCCTTCACCATGTTGAAGCACTTGCATCCGAAGACGCGTATGTTGGCCAAGGTAGGTTTGTGGCCACTGAACAGTTCGATTGGTGTCTTCGTGCATGCTGTTGTTTGTAGGACGCAGTTACAGATGAAGACGGCGGTGGTTACGGTTTCTGCCCACCAGCGGCGCGCCATGCGGGCATGGGTGAGCATGGCTAATGCCATTTCCATGAGCGTTCGGTGGGCGCGTTCCACAACGCCATTTTGCCATTGGTTGTCGGCGGCTGAACGTTCAAGTTTGATGCCTTTCTCAGCGAGCCATTCGTTGAACGCATTCGACGAGAACTCTGGGCCCGAGTCCGTGCGCAAGACATTGATCGTGCAGCCCGTTTGGCGTTCGGAGAATGCGACGAAGTCTTCATAATTGGACATTTGCGTCGCGGAGTCCGTGGAGTGGACGAAACGAACGATCTTGTAGCCGGTACTGTCGTCGACGTAGATGGTGTAATATTGGCAACCGCTGACGGATGGTGTTGTGAGGGGTCCGTTGGTGTCCGAATGCCAACTCTCCCCTGGTTGGAATGTCTGGGTGTGGGTCTCCGGTGCACTGACCCTGTGCATCTTGGCCCGAGGGCAGTCTAAACATGGGTGCTCCAACTGACCAAGTTGTTTTGGTAGGCCCAAACCAGCTTTGGCACAGATCTTCTGCGCTTCCACGGGTAGGTGACAAATGCGATGGTGCCACAACGTTGCAGTGTCGGCGAACGTGACGTTGGCGTAGTCCAATTTTGGTGCATGTGCCTGTCAGCAAATATAGGCGGCGGTCCTTTGACATGAGTGCAGTGGCGATCGTTGTCCCGTTCAGGTCGATGTTGCATTTGATTTCGCTGAACTGCACGCTAACGTCTGGGTGGGACTTCATTAGGGCGGGGATTGACATCTGTGTCATCGGCATCCCTTCGACGAACAATACGTCGGACAGGGTGATGGTCTTGTCGTCAGATAGGGTGGTGTTCATCTTGCCGACCATTGTCGCGGTGGTGCTTTTCCCATTTGCGACGACCACTCGTCACTCACAACTTCTTTTGTCGTGTAGGTGGTCGACCTGGCCCGTCAAGTGGGAGGATGCACCAGAATCCACAATGATCTGGTGCTGGAGAGTGACGTCGTCCACGGCGGAAGTGTTGGCCGCGACATCGGTAGCCACATGACTTTGATCGTCCAGTTTGGTCACCTCTGGTTGCGTCCGCAGTAAGGGTGTCGGGATGTACCAAGGTGGTTGGTTCAGCAGTGTGGGGTCATCGAACACGGCTGCAGGTGGCAGTAGTGGCGTGTTTTCGTTGCGTGCGTTCATGTGACGGTAAATTATCTCCCATGTTGCGTCGCCTACTGACATTGGGTACGATACGTAGGCGGTTGGGTCGAGCCATGGGCGACGGTTGACGCCTTCGACTCCTCGGTGAAGTGCCGAGTGCTGAATGTGAATGGCTCTCACATCGTGGTTGGTGACTAGAAGCGGATGGGACATCCATCCGGGTTATTCGAGTTAAAGAAGTTGCGGAGGCGTGCCGTCTCGATGTCATGACGGCTGAAGAATGTCCCAGCAAGCTGTTGCCCGTGCATGGTGACGAGGCGAGTTGGTCGCACATTATGACTTCAGGTGAGGTTGAAGGTTGGTACCTCGATTTTGTCTTCTTCGTCAGGTTCGATCGATTCCATCGAGACTTTGTGTGCCGAAAACAGGTACCCGGCGTTGGATGCCTGTTCTGGTTGGTAGTTCGACCCTTGTTTGCCCCGGTTGCGCTCTCGGTTATTGTTGGCAGCGATTTTGCTTTCGTCGCGGCCTTCTTACGGCATTCGGATTGCCAATGACCATCCTTGCTGCAGTAGTAGGAATTTCCTTGCTTTTGAATTGGTCCTCCC